TCTCTCTCAGTCCCCCGCGCAGAACAGCGAGGCATCTGCAGCGGCCTCCTTTCAGTGTAATGACGACGTACCTGTGGCCTCCTGCGCCGCTCTCAATTGAGTGTGGATGCACCCTCCAACTGTCTCTTCCCTCCCTGGTGTGTATGGCCGCCAATGAGAAAGAACCTGAAAGCACTTGCCGCCGGAACGTGAAAAGATAGACAGGCTCTTTTGTGAACCGCTGCGCACTGGAGCAGCGTTCATTCATCAACGAAGCGGTGAACGAACCTTCGGCAAGAGTACGATACATTAACATATATGTGCGTGTATATCCCTTTGTGTCATGCTGTGCTGCGCTTCACTCACCAAATACGACAAGCCAGCGGAGAATGATCGCTCATCAAAAACATGGGAAGGTGAATTGCCCCACTCTCATCGCTGGAGTGTTGCAGTCCGTTTGGTTATCCAACCGTGTGAACAAAGGTTTTATCTTCAGGAAGAATGCGGATAGATACATCATTATACCCTTTTTACTTTCGGTGCGCTGCAGTCCCGTCCGATTACTCGTCAAATGACGGAATATGATTGGTTCTTCGGCAAAAATGAGGGGAGGAAATAAGAATGTATCTTTCGCAAAAACATGGGRGAATGCAGACCCACTTTCTTCGCCTGCTGTGTTCTGCGACCACTCACTAACGAGGGGGTGAGGGTGAATCTGCAGTAAGACCATGGAATGATACGATACCTTCGATGATCTGTGACACGTCATAGAGTGTTCGTGCATTATGAGTCAGCGCGGATTTTCTTCGCGTACCATGAGACGTTTTGAACAAATTTCCAGTTACTAATTAGATATGCTTACAGCCGTTTGTTCACTCACCAATCAGAATGGACACACTGCATGAACACGGGAAAAGTACACTACCCCACCCTTGGACTTGCTTCGCGGCCTCGCCAGATCATCCACCAATCAAGGGGATAAGGATGAATCTTGAATGATACCATGGCAACGTTCTTCACTAAATTCAAGCCCTCAGCGCCCCAGCGGCACGCCTCATCTCTCATCAGAAGATGGGGAAAGCTCCCCTTCGTATGTACTCCACGCGTAAGTATGACCAGGTTTCTTGCCCAGTCTCGTGCCAAGCGGCTGCCAAGCGGCGCTGCGTGCGCCTGGTGCGCGGATCCTCTCCTATTCTCAGTCCGTGTCCCCCTCGACGCAGCTCGTCGCCCTCCTCAGTACCAAGTCGAGTTGTTTCGTGGGCTGGGTACACCTGGTATGCTGTCCCCCAATCTCTCCTCTGTTCCCCCCTATATTCATTCCACATTTGCTGGTACTGCCGAGACCGTCGGTACCAGGCCCAGCACAGACTCATTACGGGTGGCACGTGAGCACCGTCCTCGGGTCAACCACTGGGCGTCGTGGTACCAAACCGGGTATAGATGGCCGCAGTGATGGTGTCGAGCTTGAGTTAATTACCTGTGATAGCACCAAACCTGGAATAACCTGCCGTCCAGGTTCCGGGCCTGAGACAGACCACCGCGGCAGTCTCCAGACTTGAAAATAAATCATCCCAAAGCCGCAGAACCTGAAATAAGCCTCCGTGGCGGCGGCGTACCTGAAATAAGTCGCCACAGTGTCCTCAATAAATTGTCTAAATGGCACCGAACCTGACATATGCCACCGTGAGGGTGCCATATCCGGATAATAGTCTGCCGCAGCGGTGCCGGAGCTGGGAAAAAAATTACCGCCAAGACTGAAAATAAATTACCACTAGGATTCCGAACCTGAAATACATCGTCATAGTGGCTCCAGACCTGAAGATAAATCACCACAGAGGTCCCGACCCTGAAATAGATCGTCACAGTGCTTCCCGACCTGAGAATAAATCGCCAGAGAGGTCCCGGACCTGATATAGGACGCCGCAACGTCTCCGGACCCGAAAACACACTGCCGCCAAGGTCCCACACCTGGAATAACTGTCATAGTGGCCCCGGTCCTGAGAATAAATCACCGCAGCTGTCCCAAACCTGAAAATAAGTCACCGAAGTGAAACAGGTGTCACCAAGCCCATACCGTACCTGAAGCACGTCAGACACCGTAGGACGTAGCCACTCCGTAGCAAGCCTCATATCCATACCGAACCAAACACCATGGTCGACCCTAGGTAGCACCTGCCCATGCGTCTCCCGCTCTCAGAACGTCCCAACAATGGCAGTGTTAGTAATCAAGCAAACCAGCGAAAGTGACGCAGGGAACCTCAGCCATCGACAATATTGAACACTGTTAAAATCCGGGGAAAATGTTCAATCCGGGGTCAGAGCTAACGGCGGGTAATCGAGGCGAAATTAGGCCAACC